TCCAAAACAAAATTTTCATGCGATTTAATTAGATCTTTCAAAAGATTTTGACTCTATTTCTAATTACATTTCTTTCAGAAAGTTAATCTATCTTGTCTTTTCAACGAAGGCTAATAAGCTGTTTGGAAGTTTTTGAATGATTTGTGGGCCAATGCGAATGGAATTTTTTTGGACCGGACTGAAGTCAGAAGAGGTATGCCGCACGGAACAGTACTGGATCCGTTGTTGAACAATTTATATATCAATCATATTCAAACTTGTCTCGGCAATTGATACACTTATGTTTAAAATGCAGATAATTGCCTGTTGCATGCGTCATTTATATCTTCAAATGATGCACTGAGTCAATTACAAAAAACCTTACACGAGCCTACTTCCTTTTTTATGCTGAGAATCAAATAAATCTAAAAGCATAAAAAAAAACAGATTATGGAATGAGACCGTCTTGTTATCAATAACCATTATGTATAGAAACCATCTGAAATCTGAAAGCAAAGACTAAGCTTTGATGCTGGATTCCAATGTGTCATTTCAAACTCAAATAAATAAAGTTTTGCAAAAAATGGCTCAAGGAATTAAGACCATACATACAAAAAGACAACGATTGCCTAAAAACTTTTTTGGAAATAATATTTGAACACCTGTAAATTGTAAACAACGTAATTTTTTTTGAAAAAAAAATCACAACACAGCCTATAACCGCAAATCAATAATTGAAAATGATATTCACGCCTTGTAATTTTATGCGTGCATATATGATTAGACTCCATTTCATTAGTGTAGAACCCTTTTAATTGTTTCTTGAAAAATGATTTGCTAATACCAAATTTAGTAATTAATGGGGCAACAAATTCCATTTTTTTGTTGACAGATGAAAAAAGTTCTTGTTAGAGAAGCGGTGGTTATCAGATATTATTCGCTTCGTTCATTGATTTTTTCAATAATTCGCTGTCGGTATCCTCAATGCATTTGTAAATGCTTGCTTTCTGTTTGTAAAATACTGACAAAGATATGGAAAACATTTCAATTCAACTCTTTTCTCAATAATTTACTTTTCCGTTGCGCGGTACAAGATTTAAAATTCGATCTGAAAAAACAGCGTTCAACCTTGAAGCAAAGCAATCAAAGACATTGTGAGAAATTTTTGTCCAGCAGTATCTATATGTAACATTCGCCCAGAAATACATACCGACGGAAAACAAAGCTAGTTTATGAAACGACTGGCTAGCGTCTAAACACAGCTTCACATACATTAGCTTCACATACTCTAAACACAGTTCTATGTAGCTTCTTCTCACATCGTGTCAGCAAAATCGTTACTATTTAAGGCTACCGGCCAAACCGCGCAAATTAGTTTACTTATTTGCGAAATCAGTGAGCTCATGGCTGGATCTCATTATCCCCAGACCACGAGGTAACTCTTAAAAACAGGGCTACTTCTTGATTATCATTTTACTATTGTTTCTGTTCAGTAGATAAAAATCATCATATCCATCGGAGATGGATCAACCCTTTCCCTCAACTCCTAGCTTCTCTTTATGTGAAAACGAACTTGATGTTACTCAATTCCATTCAGGGTATAACAGGAAGATGAAAGTTGTTTTTAAAAAATAGTTTCCAATTTTTCCCGAGACACTTCCAGATTGTTGGATCCGGTCGAAGAGTTGTCTTGTTGTCGACCAGGAAGTATAGAAAACTCCTCCCAGTGGCCTTCCTGATTCTCGGGAATTACTTTGTAACGATTGTAGCTGCACAATCTTTACAATTTGCGTTGCTCAATATCCTCGACTGCAAACTTCTATCTGCTTATTTCAGCGTTTTGTCTGTTTTTTCCCAGCAAAAATTGTTGTTCTGATTTTCGCGGTTCATTAGTTTTTGCGAAAAATAAAAAAGGAACTTGTTTTTTTTTTCGAACGAATTTTTTAAAGTAAGCATGTCAGCTTGAAGTGACCCTTCTCATTCCGCTCATTTTGTCCAATAAGACCGTTAATAATCGAAACTGCTCTTTTGTACAGTTGAACTACTTCCAATAAAATTCGTTGCGACGAACCATTTTTTGGCGGCATTCTGGTCTAAAGGCACATAGTTGTTTTTTTTTCATTGGCCATTTTTTAATTTTTTTTTGCTTGAGATTGAAGCAAAAGATTAGAATCAAGAGTCAGACTTAATTGTTGCATAGTGTTTTCTTCGCTATGTCGCTATGTTTTGATCATTATATTAAGTCGGTCAGTTTCAACATTCTGCTTATCTTTTTTTTGACAAAAATCATAAATTCTGTTTTTTATGCATTCAATTTCACTTTATTTTGGGAAAATTTTTGTAAGTTCGAGTAAGGAAGTTTGTAACCTACTCAAAGCGTCGTTTGAAGATAGTGATGATGCAAATTTTTTTACAATCGTCAGCATATTGCACCAAAGTACATTTATGAGATTTTCGTTTTTGTATATAATTGATATATAAAGAGGAATAATCAATTTATAAGAACGAAATAGAAAAAAATGGGTGCACAGCTAAAACACTGAATTTTGGACTGATAGAATTGTCTCGAAGACCCTTGACAGAATCATCACGAAAAATCAACAGGAGCCCTGGAAGGACCTACTTCAAGGGAGTATTATTAATGCAGACACACCACCCATAATGGTGGTGCAGTACCGAGGCACTGAAAATCTGATATTTGCAAATAAGGTGCGGAACGTCATCAAGGTACCAATTGTTTTCAACGTCAGAGTGCTGGAAACCTGCCTACCATCTTCATGTCTTCTTTTTCCCGTGAAAAAAAAATCAAAATTGCTTGAATAAAACGGTATGAAATTATTGCATCAAAAAATCATAAATTTGGGATTGAAATTTTGCAGGAAAAAAGTATTTGAACACCTGTAAATTGTAAACAACGTAAATTTTTATATAAAAAAAATTCACAACACAGCCTATAACCGCAAATCAATTAATGAAAATGATATCACGCCATGTAATTTTATGCGTGCATATATGATTAGACTTCATTTCAGTAGTGTAGAACTGTTTTAATTATTTCTTGAACGTTGATTTGCTAATACCAAATTTCGTAATTAATGGGGCAACGAATTCCATTTTTTGTTGACTGATGAAAAAAAGTTCTTGTTAGAGAAGCGGTGGTTATCAGATATTATTCGCTTCGTTCGTTGATTTTTTTCAATAATTCGCTGTCGGTATCCTCAATTCATTTGTAAATGCTTGCTTTCTATTTGTAAGATACTGACAAAGATATGGAAAACATTTCAATTCAACTCTTTTCTCAATGATTTACTTTTCCCTTGCGCGGTACAAGATTTAAAATTTGATCTGAAAAAACAGCGTTTCAAAGTCCAGCTCACCTGTTTTACAGAGGAGATCAATGAAGCTGCCTTATTTTACTCTAAAAGAATTGCTGCATAGTCTCAATGACTTAAAATTCAACCTTAAAGCAAAGCAATCAAAGACAATGTGAGAAATTTTTGTCCAGCAGTATCTATATGTAACATTCGCCCAGAAATACATACCGACGGAAAACAAAGCTAGTTTATGAAACGACTGGCTAGCGTCTAAGCACAGCTTCACATACATTAGCTTCACATACTCTAAACACAGTTCTATGTAGCTTCTTCTCACATCGTGTCAGCAAAATCGTTACTATTTAAGGCTACCGGCCAAACCGCGCAAATTAGTTTACTTATTTGCGAAATCAGTGAGCTCATGGCTGGATCTCATTATCCCCAGACCACGAGGTCACTCCTAAAAACAGGGCTACTTCTTGATTATCATTTTACTATTGTTTCTGTTCAGTAGATAAAAATCGTCATATCCATCGGAGATGGATCAACCCTTTCCCTCAACTCCTAGCTTCTCTTTATGTGAAAACGAACTTGATGTTACTCAATTCCATTCAGGGTATAA